TTGGAGCTGCTCGATGATCAGCACGGAGATATTCTACGACAGTCCTTCTTGTGGGCACTGTACCAGTTGCGAGAGGTGCAGTACTTAGGACAGATCATTGATGCACTTCTATGTCGGCTTCTGAGGTCAGTCGACGGCAATTCCCTCCAATTCGACCTCGGGGGCAAGGTCGTCAGTTTCTCGATGTTTGAGTTTACATTGATCACTGGACTGAAGATTACGGACGACGATGCAGCCATGGAGAGAAGCAGTAGGTTGTACGAGACGTACTTCCAGGGACATGGGTCGGTGCTTCTACCCGACTTGATGGTCGCGATCAGGGGGTGCGACCATATGTAGATAGATTGAAGCTTGGGCTGGTCTACATCCTCGAGAGTGTGATGAGGTGTCATCACAAGAAGACTGCCATCGACATTTTTCATTTGCAAGTTGTTGACGACATTGATGCGTTCAACAACTATCCGTGAGGTCGAAGATGCTACGAAGACACCGTACATGTGTTCACCAGATCGCACTCGTGGCCCAGGGGGTCGATGCGTAAATACGATACATATGGGTTGCCGTTAGCAGTGCAGGTAAATGTTTAATATAATCAAAGTTAAAGTTTTAGTGTATTACATTAATGCTTAATAAGTGTATGTGTTACAGATTTGGGTGTATGAGACAGTTCCTGTACTGGGGGCCCGCTTTGCACAGCGAGAGGAGACACGCTGCCCTCGGATCCATCATTGGAGATCATCGCGAGCGGAGGGATGTCCCACCGGGAAGCAGTTATCGGCCCTCCTCGACGATCCTCAGGTAAGTATTATGCATTTGTGATTTATATTATACGTAGTTTAAAATTTTGTTTACATGATTGTTAAATAGTTGAAATGTCAATATGTCAGCTTGAAGTCATACCTGAGTTGACGCCATCGATGGAAGAGGAGGTTCGGGGTCTTGTACGGGATTTAGGCGTTCCGCACACCCAGACGAGGAGATGCCTGATCCGAGCTTGGACCGAGATTGGGTATGTGAATGAAATATAATTTATTGAATATGATCGACATCTAAATTTATTGAATAGTTTATTGAATAATTTTTCATTTTATTTATGTAGGAGGGCGGTCCAGCTGATCGACGATCACCTCCGCCGGGACCATCGCCGCCACCATTGGCATCATCTCCGCCGAGAGTATCGTCCCCGCCATTGGCATCACCTCCATCGGGGCCATCGCCGCCGCCATTGGCATCACCTCCGTCGGGGCCATCGCCGCCGCATGTGTCTCCGGGGCACAGTGATGATTTGTATACCCCTTTGACTGGATTTATAGCGGAGGAGGTCGGCGCGCTATGACGAGATTTGACGGAGAGGGTCGATGATCTGGGACGAGAGTTGACAAGGAGGGTCGACGATCTGGCAGAGAAGGTTGACTATATGGCAGGGAGGGTCGACGATATGGGACGAGAGTTGACAGGGAGGGTTGACGATCTATCCCATGATGTTGGAATACTACAGTCTTCCGTTGTCGACCTTCAGGATACAGTAGCGGCGCTTAGGGGAGATTTAGCCGGCAGACGATGGGGGGACAGAGAGGATGGCGGAGATCATGATCGAGAGGGTGGCAGAGATGGTGATGGAGAGGGGGGTCACCCACATTTTTGGCGTGATGAAACATTGGAGTCCTTGTGGTTGTCTATAGAGGGGGTGGCCCCGACGGGAGGGGAAGAGGAGGTGGCGACGGAGGGGGAGGCCCCCATGGAGGGGGCGGAGGAGGTGGCCCCGGAGGTCGAGAGGACGCCCGGCGTGATTGAGGGTAAGAGACATGCTGTTGATGAGACGGAACAGGTGGTCGGCAAGAGATTGAGAGTGTCATCACAGTATGTTGTTTTCCCCTTCACGGCTGAGGCCAAGAGGAGGATGTTCATCGATGGGACGTACCCGAACTTATTCAGAGAGGTGGACAATGCCAAGTGGAAAGCGTTCGAGACAGAGTGGAGGAGGATTATCCCCGGGTAAGTATTGTATGATTTTAATAAAGCACTGTACGCTAACTCGTCTACGCTTATTTTAACATTTCCCTCTTTTTTACAGAGCTAGCCGCACGATAGGACAAAGGACGATCTCGGACCCTTACAAGTGGTTCCACGATATCACCACTGCGGGAGCTTGGCTCGCCGACGATGTAAGTAAACTATTCGTTTCGTGTTTTTTATGTATATGTGACCTTGTGTTTATTAAATGAATAACTCATACTTTTTCGGTGTTTCCTGCTGCAGCACATCGACCTGGCCATGGACTTGTTGCGAGATCAAGCTCAAAGACATCCAAAATCATTTGGTGTCCATGGTCGAGTCATATTAAACACCAAGTTCTTGGGCGTCGTTACCATAGAGTATCAGTCACTCGCACATATGGGTAACGAGTACACGGTGCCAGAATATATGCTCGAGTGGGTGATAGGACTGTCACCGAGTGTCGGGGGAAAATCATGGGAGGGTTGTACACATATGTACATTCCAGCGTGCATCAATAAACACTATGTTACGCTGGAGATCATTTTTGCTGACTCGACTATATATGTGTACGACACAGATCATTCATGTTTGACACAAGGCCAGTTGGAGCAAAATCTGGAGTCTGTGACTGTCATTGTTCCTATGATGGCCAGACGAGCGGGGATAAATGTACAGGACAGATTGCGGATCGTTCGGAACACGACGACAGCGCGACAGTCCGTAAGGTAAGTGTTTGAACGTTGTTTTTATCTTTCAGATTTAGTTTTTATTTACACAGTACTAAACTGATTCATTCTTGTTCAATTGCAGCGGCGACTGTGGCATATTTGCCATTAAGTACGTTGAATTTTTAAGTATAGGACATAAGGTTGATGAAATCAACCAGTCGTGGATACAGAACTGGAGAAAAAAGCTAGCATGTGATTTGTTCGAATTGAATGCTGACCCATAAATTTCAGTTATACATATGTAACATTTCAATTGTAAATTTAATTATTTTTATAATTATGAAATAATTGTAAATTTGTGTTCAATGTATATAACATTCAAATTGGAAATTTAATTATTTTTATAATTATGAAATAATTGTAAATTTGTGTTCAATGTATATAACATTCAAATTGGAAATTTAATTATTTTTATAATTATGAAATAATTGTAAATTTGTGTTCAATGTATATAACATTCAAATTGGAAATTTCATTATTTTTTGTTATTTTGAAATAATTGTAAATTTGTGTTCAATGTAATATAACAAATATTGAACAGTGTATAGTAAAAGGAAATATTATTCATTTCACGTACCTGTTTAGTCGTCATTTAAGGGAATTTGACTGGTACAAAATTGCCGAGTATGCCCTACAGCTCTGCACCGGCCACACCTACGCGGTCAAGGAAACTCTCTGATAGATGGTATTCTAGATGTACTTGGACGTCCAGGACCACGCGGTTCAATTGCTGGTGGTAACAAATTATGAAATGGGAGACTGTGCTCGGGAACTTCCCACTCGACTTCATTCGGCAGAGGAAATATAGTCTCGGCATATGCTGTTCTCCAAGACTCAGTCGTATAATACAAAGAGCACAACGTTCTCGCAGCAAAGCCTCGATACATGGCCACCGCAACTGCATGCTCACATGGAAAACTCTCCAACTGAAATCTCGTACAAGTGCATGTGTTATCAGTCAAGTCCACCATATATGCCGTATTACGTGCACATTGCACGGAGAAGCGAAACTCATCTAGTGCTTC